GAAGACTGGACCATGGCCCAACAATGGTATGGTGAGCCAGATCCAGAGCAAAATTTAGCTTAAACCGCTGGTCCAATCCAATTCCATTAAATTGTTTTCTGAAAATTCGGCAATATATATATATTTTTTTTTTGCAACAGAGAGCTGAAGGGACAGAATCTCAGTGGCACTCTCCCACAGGAGTTGGTCAATCTCCCTTACCTTAGAACTATGTAAGCATTTTTTCCAAACAGTTCCATTACCAATTTTAATTTGCCCCTAATCTTCTCCATGATTACCAATTATATATATATATATTTTAGTTTTCTAATTCATCTATTCTCAAACCTTTTTACAGTGACCTTTCTCGCAACTACCTCAGTGGCCCAATCCCTCCACAATGGGGTTCCATGCAACAAATTGAGTCCATGTAAGCTCCCTCATATCACATGCATTCTGCATGATGTTGTAATAACTATATATATAATTTTCAAATTTATCTACCATATTTTGTGTGTTCATGGCTGCCTTAATCACTTTATGCTCGTTTGCTTTTATATATATATATATTGAACGTTAATGTTGCAGTTCTCTTCTTGGAAATCGTTTAACGGGTTCCATCCCAAAGCAGATAGGGAGCTTAAGCACTCTTAGGATTTTGTGAGTTTTTGTCCAGTGAATTTTTATTGTTTAAATAATTTGTTCATGGATATTTAAATTTGATTGATTGATATTTTAAATCTATAAAAAAATGTGCAGTACTGTGGAGTTTAATAATCTATCAGGAACTTTGCCTCCAGAGCTTGGGAACCTAGCAGGCATTGAGAATCTGTAAGACTGCTAGTTTGTTCTCTTGTGCTAATTTGTTGTATTTATTTGTTCATATGGAGTTGCATTGTTGACATTTTTGTTGCTAATATTACAGTCATTTTACTTCCAACTACTTTACTGGAGAATTGCCACCAGAATTTGCTAGGCTAACCTCTTTGAAGGACTTGTAAGCTTTTTTATTTTTTGTTAATTTCCAAGGTTTAGTTTGTAGAATTGTGAAGTTTGTGATTGTTTTGACTATTTTTGAAATGATGCAGTCGAATTAGTGACAACCAATTCACAGGAAAGATACCTAATTTCATCCAGAATTGGACAAATCTTGAAAAGTTGTGAGTGTTTTAATCATTATCATTTGGGATGACCATTTGGACTTATAATTATGTTATTTGGATTGGTGTTTCTTAATTTCTCTTACCAAAATTAAACATTTGATATTGTCAGACTAATTCAAGCAAGTGGCTTGATGGGACCAATTCCTTCTAACATAAATGCATTAGCAAAGCTAACTGATTTGTAAGTATGGACTTCTTATTTCAATTATGCAAATTGGAATATTGTGATTGACAGATTGTGTTGTTTCATTTACTCTCTGTTGAATCTTATCAATATACAGGAGAATTAGTGATTTAAATGGAACCGATCCAACAAAATTTCCTCAACTTACTAGTAGAAAGTTGAAGACACTGTGAGTATAGTTAATTCCACTATGATGCACTTCTTATTAACTAAGGCAATGGATTTTTTGCAACATAAATGATAAATAAATTCCTGTGTGTTAATTATAGGATACTGAGGAGTTGCAATATTGTTGATAAGCTGCCTGACTATTTGGGGAAAATGACATCTTTGACGACTTTGTGAGCACAGAATTGGTTTCCTTATGTCTATCTAGGTGCAATCGAACTATTAATTTAATCTCCTTCCTATCTGTTTTTCTTGCAGAGATCTAAGCTTTAACAACCTCAGTGGAGAAATTCCACTAAGCTTTATGAATCTTATGGAGACAACTAATTACATGTAAGCACATCATCTCTAAGTGATTACAATTAACTCCTCTTTTTTTTTTCCCATAAATTTCACCTCTTTTGTTTGATTATATTTTCTTAGATTATGGTAAATTTCCATCTTCCGAATGAATTCTTTATGTTAAACATGTAATTATTTTTTTTTTTTTCTCATTTTAGTTATTTGACTGGAAACTTGCTCAGTGGGATCATTTGTCCTCAGATACTGGAAAGCGGCAAGAACGTGTAAGAATCTGTTTCCAATATTTTATTGAATTTCCTTTTATTCTAAGGAAGTTTGTTGACAAAATTCTTGTTTTTTGTTAAGTTAGATACTGAAATATATGTGCCTAGTGCCTTGTTACCCACTGAAACTTTTACACTTTCTTCACATTCTCACTTTTTTTATTCTTCTTTTCTTCTCCCCACATCAACTTTTTCTACACGCACTTCACAGCTAACATCAACTATTTATACATTTAGCCAAATCAAACCATATCAACAAGATACATTCAGCCAAATCAAGTTATATCTTCAAATATAGTTTGGAGAAATTTGTCATGAATTGATGAATTATCACTAACCAATCTTCTATTTATATTTTTCTTCAGTGATCTTTCATATAACAATTTCACCCCAGAGTCAACTTGTCCACAACAGCGAGTGTAAGAATCTTACATGGCATTTGAGTTTGTTCACTTTTGGTAAATAGAAGTTAGTATGCTTACGTGTCCCTCAACCCCATATCAAAAAAGAAGTACTATTATGACTTTAGCTCAAAGAGTTGTTAAGCCATGGATCATGGTGAACTGTGCCCGGGTCATTAATTTTAGCTTAGTTATTGGAAAAGAAAATCCCTTTTATGCTAATTGATCTTTACCACTTGGTCCTATTTTCCTTCAGGAATTTGTTTGCAAGCTATCCAGGGAGCAACGAGCCGTAAGTTTTAACTCCCTTCTCAAGAACATGTCTTACAAAGATTTCATCATTCTGAAACATATTCATTTTGCTGCCATGATGCTAACATTTTCTGGATCTTGTACTGTATATCAGAGGGGTTTTTTCATGTTTGGGAAGATCTGAATGTCAAAAAAGTAAGTTCAAATAATATGTCTTCTACCCATGCTATCAACAAGAAAGAATGATATGTCTTCAAATCTAATTTTTGGTTTTGATCATAGCTCTTGGATTTTGTTTCTCATTTTAACCTTGAGGGATTGTGGGAGTAAGGAAGCAAAGAATGATGCTTCCAATAGCATATATTTTCATCAAAATGTTTGTTAAATTCAAGATTCATGGTTCTAGTATTTCTATTTACTTCTTTATAAGTTGTGATAAAGGAGAAAATTTTTCTAGAATAAATAGCATTGTGTTTAAGTTACAAAAACTTGGAAAATACAAACTTTGTGTGGGAATCTAAATAAAAGAAAAGGTTTCTGGGAGCATAATTAATTAAGACAGCTGTTCTCACTTGGCTTTATGGTAAAAGATTTGATTAACAGTATTTTACCATGGTTGCACATATATTGCACACCTTGCAACATTCTTCCTTTCCCTTTGAAAGTTGCTCAATCTTTCTTAAAAAACTCAAACCTATATAGTTTGGAATTACTCAGTCAGAGTACTTGCGAAAATTTAATTTTCTTCTTATTCTTATTCAATAGTTTGTGAGCTGTTCGCTTTGTTTTCCAGCAAGGTATCATCTCTATATTAACTGTGGCGGAGACAAGGTAGTTCTAAACAAAACCATATATGAAGAAGATACAGATCAAGAAGCAGCTTCAAAACTTGTTGTACATGTTGATGGCGATTGGGCACTTAGTAGCACTGGTCACTTCAATGATAAGCAAAGTGTAGACCGCTTTACTTTGATGACAAATGCTGAAGTCTCTATCAAAGATTCAGAACTGTACAAGAGTGCACGCCTTTCAGCCATCTCTCTCACTTATTATGCATTCTGTATGGGAAATGGGAACTACACAGTAAATCTCCATTTTGCAGAAATAAGGTTCACTGATGATAAGACATATAGCAGCTTGGGGAGGCGCGTATTTGATATTTACATTCAGGTAGGTAAGACTGGTTTTGATTCCAG